TCTTGCACTTTTCATTACATTGTCCAAAATTCTTTTTTCCCTTTTTTTCTTTTGTGATAAAGAAACAAGGCCCAACTAACCCAACACTGTTTCACCTTGTTCGTGATGTCAAACAGGTATGTCTTAAATTTGTACCAAAACTGTTACATTAGTGACTACTGTTGTTGCACAAAGTTTGCTTGTAAAGATTAAAGTCAAGTTTAGTTTTACCAATTAGAGCAGGAGGGGGGCCTACCTTTTTGCTGGCATGCCACGAAAGCCCTTTCCCCTCTCCAGTCCCCTTCTCCTGATCCATTGCTCTACTCTCTCTTTCCTGACTGATCTGTTGTTCTGCTCTCTGTTCCCTGCCTGATCACCACTGTTCTCTCTGCTCCCTGCCAGATCTGCTGCATACCAAATGCTGCACTCATGGCTATGGGTTGGCCACCCCTGAATTAGAATAATGAACATATTGACATACAAGATCATATTATATGCCCAACTGGTATGGGAGGAAAAATTTCTGAGAAGCAGAAAGTTTTTGTCCACTAAAAGCACTTTCACTACAGTTTGGGGAGGATAACTAATGGTGGTAATTAAGTAGGTGCCCATAGTTAAGACCACGGATAAAATTTTCAAATGTGTTTTCTCACTGATAGTTAAATGAACTTACTCTAGGCATAATTCACAATCCACAAATTAGTTTAATATGTTCAGACTAGCATGCTACTTACAGGAATAGAGATGGGTGAAATAGTATTCTAGAGCTATCTGCAAACAAAAATGGGCATGGTCTATGTGATTGTAGTAATACACTGTTTTCTTTACACAGCTTCCTGGGTAAAATGTGTGAGCCTGATGGGAGGGAAAACTGATATTATATTAGTTCTCTTTCATATATTCTGTTTTGGAAAGGGATGCTTACTAACATTAATAACTAGAGTAGTCATTTTCTGTTTGCAACAGACTTTATCTTCAGGACACTGGCCAAAGAGAAACAGGCTATTTATTCCTTATCTTTTCCTTCTGTTTGAAGTAATTAAAAAAAGTCGTCTTTCTGGAAGAGATTTTTTTTGCACTACTTACAGGCCCTAATCCTGTAAAATTTCTGGGAAAAATTAATTGATTTTGATGAGAGCACTTGTGTGCGCAGAGCATTTGAGTAGGCAGTTAGTAACGATTGTATCCAAGGAGCAGGTCTTGTTCTGCAGAACTCATTTCACTGAGTGAAGAATCTTCTGGCCTTAACTTGGCTCAACGAGCCTTGTTAAAAGATTTAATTTGGCTCTGCTCGGACAACACGCTTGGCCCTCTTGGCTTTAGGTAACATGGTGGTGAGCTGGTATAACATTGAGGTAAAAGGGGCTGATCTTTTTGGGACAAGCTCTGCTTCCTTTCTGTTCTTGACTACTGTTGCCTAAGAACACAGTACATGGTGGAACATATACAGGTCAGCCACATGAGAAGAAGCCTAAAACAGGGTCACAACTAGGACACTGATGTGAGGTGTATTCCTGTTGTATCATGTAGAGGAAGGTCAAATTTAAGCAGCATTTACCAGTTAAGCTGGCAGTAGTTAATAGGACTAAATTACAAAACTCAGTTTGGCAATCATTGATCTTTCTGGATCATGGTATATGCATGAGAGGTCACCCAGACCTTTGATGCATATGCCTAGGCAGGACGTTTTGGGGGTTTTTGTTGTTGTTTTTTTGTTTGTTTGTTTGTTTGTTTGTTTTTGGAGGAGTGGAGGCTGCCCAGACCTCGCTTTAGGCCACTGAGACAGAATCCAAAAGCCAGACCAGATGTTTGGTGCCTCCATGGCTGTATTTGTATAAGCATCCAGGAATTGAATGCAGGTCTCCTGTGTGGCAGACAAGGATTCTACCACTGAGCCACAGGGGACTCCTAAATTACAAAACAACAAAAACCAAATTCAGTTTCCTGAGAAGATGCTACAATTTAAGTCAGCCTCTTCTCCACCCCTAAAAAACAGAAAATTTGCACTTGTCTTATATGCAATGGCAATCTTATAATCAGTCTCTAGTGATTTGACTTTTGTACTGCAGTACATGCAATAAAAATACCAAATGAGTACTTTTTCAGTGCAGTATTTTATTTTTGTATTTTTAGTACATTTGAGCCTTTGGATCCCTTTCCTGATCTGTTGTTTCTTTCTTAGGAGTTTGCAAGGGCAATAGGAGTTTAAGAATTTTATCTTTGGTTATTGACTTGTATTTAGCGAAAAGCTGTTTTTTCTAAGATTGAATTTGCAAAATAGGGTTGACTTATAATTGGAACAATGCAGTACTGTACATAGGAAAATTATAGTCCAGGCTGCTTCATAGCCTTTTAGAATGGAAGTCTTATATATTCATTTAGACTTACAGTATATGTGATAGTACTGTATGTTTAACTGTTGCAACATGATTTCATATTTCTAGGGAAACCTTCCTCCAGGATATAAAATCAATCTGATCGATGTTGGACTTGTTATTGAATATTTGATGGGAGGAACCTACAGGTGCACATACACAAGGAAACGCTTTAGAGCCATATACAACAGTCTCAGTGGGAACAATCGGGTATGGGACATTCTGATAATATTGTAATTTAAAGCAATATCTAATTTTCATCAGAATATGTTTATATTTAAGTATTGAGAATATTTAGAAAATTATTTTTCTAATCACAAAAAATCTTGGCTGTTTTTTTGGCATTAGAGCCCAGTCTTGTAAATCTTTGCTTTAAAATGACTGGTTTCATAAGTATGATTTGTTCATGTAAAAAATGTCTTGCAATACAAGAGTTTTAATTACTATGTGAAAATCAAACTTATGAAGTGATTATAACCATCTCAATAGACAAATAGACACTTAATTGAATAAGTTATGCATCTGGCTTTAAACAGCTGCTTATATAATTTCTTTTTCCCATTGTGTTTAATTTAAAAACCCCATTTGACATTATTTTTAATTTCCAGCGGTCTGGGCGAAATCCTTCAAATAATACTCCTCAATTGCGTAAAAGCCATGAGTCTTTTGGTAACAGAGCAGATAAAAGAGAAAAAATGCGACATAATCACTTCATCAAAACTGCACAGCCTTACAAACCAAAGGTATACGTGTACACTATCTCTGTGTGTCTCCTTTACTGTATACTTTCCAAGGCAAGGACCTCAGGTGAAATTCTTGCTTTATTGAAATCAGTGGGAAAAATCCCATTGACCTTCAGTAAGGTGAGGATTTCACTCATCTTCATACTTTTTGGTAATATGTCCAGCACTTAGTAACATCTTCATTAAGAATGCATTTTTAAACATTTATACACAATTGTTATTAAGGGCCAAAAACTTATCCTTGGTAAAACACTTAATATCTGGACATACAGACAATTTGCTGCCACGTTAAAGTTGGTGGAGCTCTACCCCACATCAGTTGCTTTGCAGAAACTACTTGTGTTTGTGCTCTTACCTTGTGGTGAGTGGAAACTAAACAAGGCTAATCTACTTCACCTACTGAAAGCTAAGCCAATACAGTTTAGTTTCTGTTTACTAAAGATTAAGAATGTGCGTCTGGACAGTTATTGTGAAACAACTGAAGTGTTATAAAGCTCTGTCTCCCTTTTACCGTGCAGTAAATTGCACACCTATACCCTTCAGAATCAGTTTAACCTATTGGATGGATCTAGTAGTAAAACAAGCAGAATTTTGCTCTTGGGTAGTGAAAGTATTCTCAACCATTTGCTTCATCCTTCTTTAGGTATATTTTATTCACTGCTGCTTTGTCAAATAACCTGCTAATCTGGTAATTGGGTAATGTGTAAGTGTGTTTCCAGTCATTAGGATGAATTAGCAAGATTCTACTAGAGTTTTAGTTTATAATAAACATAAACTGATATGTATACTACAAATGTACATTCCTTGAGTGTTGCGTCGCTATCAGCAGTACTTTAAATCTAAATTTGTTGGAAACGTTTCAGTAAAATGTCACCTCCTGACGTTTCCTTTTAATTTTTTTCAAGATTGATACCACTGCAGAAGAAGGAAAAAAGAAAAGAACCAAAGATGAAATAGTAGATATCGATGATCCTGAAACTAGACGTTTTCCTTATCCTCTTAATGAGCTGTTACTTTGGGCAGTGTTGATGAAGAGGCAGAAGATGGCCCTCTTCTTCTGGCAGCACGGTGAAGAATCCATGGCTAAAGCCTTAGTTGCCTGCAAAGTGTACCGCTCAATGGCATATGAAGCAAAGCAAAGTGACCTTGTTGATGATACCTCGGAAGAACTGAAGGAGTATTCCAAGTAAATTATTTTTTATCTTGTTTAGTATCTTATTTCTAAGCTTTCTTAAAATAATGATTGCAAGATAGTTACGAATGGAAAATCGTATCCCATCTGTGGCATATATAGAGAAAAGGGATTTTCTCAAGTATTAAGTTGGATTCTAATAAAAGATGCATATGATACAGCTTAATTTATATTGCTTCTAGAGAAGCACCCTGTCTGTATTTATATTAAGACACCAGTTGCCAAGTTCCTTTATAGATCCTTTCTTCACTGTTGGTATTGCACTGCTTAGATATAGTCTAAAAATATGTGTATTCTAAGAAAAGCACATGTACAGTTTATATTTAGTTAATGTAAGCGTGTTTGTTAGATGACAGTACAGGCTGAAAGTCTGATAATGCCCAGTATAGCCCATCCTGTTGCATTCACAGAAATTTGGTCATATAAGATGCATTTGCTTGACCCAGGAATTTATCTTGTTCATTGTTGTAATGGAAAGAGGAAAATTTTCCTCTACACCTCTACTGCAGTACACATAGGCTGAGCTCCTTCAGAACCAAATTTGGTAAGCCTATATACTGTGGTTTTTTCCACTTTGTAGTGAGTTTGGACAATTGGCAGTTGAGCTATTAGAACAGTCCTTCCGACAGGATGAAACAATGTCTATGAAGTTACTAACCTATGAGCTGAAGAACTGGAGTAACTCAACTTGTCTTAAACTAGCAGTGTCATCAAGACTTCGCCCATTTGTAGCTCATACTTGTACACAAATGTTGTTATCTGATATGTGGATGGGAAGGCTGAACATGCGGAAGAATTCATGGTACAAGGTAATAGCCTTATAATTTATTGTTAGTGTAAAATTGTCCAACGCTTTTTCTATATTTATGCTTAAATGGAAAGAGAGCATGCACATAAGTGAAATTATTTTTAAATGTTTATCACTAAAACTTGTTTATATTAATAAATACAGTAAAAGAGTCCTTCTATAACGTTTTTAATTTGAAACTGGAAATTATATATTGTTAACACTTCTTTTGATACTGTATTATCTTTTCAAATAAGGTACAGACATGTACAAGGCAGAAAACAGGCAAGTAGCCTTTAATCGAAGGCTTATAGATCATTATGAATACTAATCCACTACTAAAAATATAGTGGTTCAAAATTAACAGACAGAAAACTCTCTCTAAGAATGCAGTTCCGTGTGCTTTGGCTTTCTACAGGCAATAAATTAAACTTGAGGTAGAATAGCTGTTTTACTTTGGAGGCACAAGCTGAGCAAGGGGAGGGTGAACACTGAAATGCTGCCAGATGAATCTTCAGGATCCGTTGGTGTAGGCACTCAACAATAGTGCAACTCATGTAGCTTTAGTCAAACAAAAAGGCAGCTGCGTGCCTCTGTCACAGATGCACTAAAAACATACTGTAGAATGCAACAGTTGAAACTTGTCCAAAAGTGCAACATTCATATATAATCTCCAGAAGTATCACCTACACAATGTACTAAAAATCTTATGCACCAACTTAAATGTTTCGCCCCCCTCTCAACTTGAAATGGACTGACCCTAACAAATAGCTGGCTCACATGTATATTTAAAAACTGACTTGTGCTTATTTAAATGTGCTTTGGCTATAGACTTCAGTATCGTTCCTGGAAAAAATAGGGTGAAGATGTAGAAATGACCTGTGAATTTACCAGCTTTACCTGTAGCTCATTTCTGTTTTCTTGGAATATGTTCTGTCACATAGCTTTCTGTTTTGGAACTTGCCAATTCACTCCTCCTCCTGCCCCACTTTCAACTCCCCTGGATTTCATGGAACATTCTTTATATGTTCGTCCATGTCCTCTAAGTTACACATAACAAAAACTAATTCACTTCTGCATCTTTTACTAACTAGTGAGGACCATTTGGATTGTATATATATTTTACAGAGGTATATTCTGGTGTACATTGAAACTTTAATAAAATGAAATAAATGAAATACAATTTTAAAATAACTCCATTGACCTCTCTTACAGGTGATCTTGAGCATTTTGCTTCCCCCTGCCATACTGTTATTGGAATATAAGACTAAGGCTGAAATGTCCCATATTCCGCAGTCTCAAGATGCACACCAAATGACAATGGAAGATAGTGAAAACAACTTCCAGAATGCAGTAGATGAAATACCTATGGTAAAATAATATCAAAATTAACATCCCCGAAATACCTTAAAAATAAATATTTTTATACATGAATTCATAGCCTATTTGTTTTTACATTAGGAAGTATTTAAAGAAGTAAAAATCTTGGACAGTTCTGAAGAAAAGCATGACCTGGAGACACCAACGAAACCGAAGAGGCTTCCAATTACACAGAAGTTTTATGCATTCTATCATGCACCAATTGTGAAATTCTGGTTTAACACGGTGAGTCTTTGGAGAAACAAACTATGTAAATTGACTTATGCTTGAGGCTGCTTTCTTTGGAAAGCAGTGACCATTTTCTTTGCCTAATATGTATCTGGTTTAATTCTGTTACTATTCCTGTTCTTGCCTTTCTAAAACTCTCTTCTTGATTAAGAGTGGGAAGCTTTGGAATCTTGGAAGCTGAAGAATGTATGCATGACATGCCAAAATATCCTGTTTGTAGTGGTACAGTCTTCAGCTGTGAAGTAATTTAATTTAGCACTGTCGGTTTTTACTTGAGCCTGGTATTTTACTAATGAAGACTAATGGAGAATATCACACATTTAGGCAAAGCCGCATGTAATTGATCTGGGATTTTGAAATAATTAAGCAAGTTGCATATTAGTTGTAGTTTCTTGTCATATTTTGGATCTTAAGGGGATATTTAAACTCCGTGTACAATATTTCTACCTTCGCTGTTTCAAGCAAATACTACTATTCCGTTTACCATTTTGGCGTACAGAACATGAAAGATGTACAGTTATTGTGCACCTAGCTACACTAAAAACAATTTAACTTAATATAATTATCCCTGTTTGCTTCTTTCTAGCTGGCATACTTAGGATTTCTCATGCTCTACACATATGTCGTGCTTGTGAAAATGGAGGAGTTACCATCAGTTCAAGAATGGATTGTTATTGCTTACATTTTTACATCAGCCATTGAAAAGATTCGTGAGGTTTGTTTGCAATTATTTTTATCTAGAAATCAACCTAAGAGGTGCAGAAATTAAAAGTATTAGTGCACCTATTATTAATATCTTTTTTTAATTAGGGTTGTAGTGGTAGCAAAGTCATCAAATATCCAAAGAATGTGAGAAGCAAGGTTAGTTTGGTAATACCTTTCATTACACGTATCTGACATAATTCTTCAAACATACATTTGGGCCAGTAAAAGATGTTACCAAACAAGCCTTGCTTCTAATATATCTTCCAGTATATCTCTATTATAAGCAGTTGCATCTTAAAGACATTGTGAACATACCTTATGCATAATAAAAATATGCCATGCATATATAAATAAAAACACTTGTTATCCAAAAGATTTGAGTATGCTGTAGTTGAACAGTTGCACACACTTTTAAGACTGTCACCCCAAGGTCAGCACTTGCTGACTCAATATCGAGCCTTATTTTTTCTTTTCAGAGGAAGCATGTGGGCTTCCTAAGAGTTATAGGGAAATATCCACAGTTAGACATCAGACTAATAAATTGAGTTCCAAATGAATGTTTTATGCATTTATGCAGAGCAGGCAGATAAATGACTTTATGATAGATTTTAAGTGCAAACCACAACTTCATTAATTTTAGGACTCTTCCTTCATGTCATGCTGGTGTTAGTGCCCAGTAAACTAATTAACTCACACCACAAATCACAGTGAATTACTCTGCTGTAAGATAGCACTGTCCCTGCAATCAAACTCTTGTATAGACAGTGACTATGGTGGAAATTATGCCTGGTCAGCCCAGGTAGACCCTTTCCTGCCACCTAGCTACGTGGCTCTGCACATTTGGCACTCTTGTGCCCCATCCAGTCCCTCTGCTGCCTGATGCCGAGCCCAAGGCCACCCCAAGCCCGCTGGCAGCTCATGCTTGCTCCACCCTGGCTCAGTGCTTCTGTCCCAGGCACACATGTAGATGCTGTGCCCAGGAGCAGTGTACTGCAGCTCAAAGTATTCTGGAGTTTATTGCATCGCATAATTGCATGTGTAGATGCACCCAATGTTAAAAAAATTACTTGTAAATGTGAACCATGTTTTGATGGGGTCTGCTGTAGCCAGAAGCCAGGTTCCTACACTTGTATCCTTTGCATCCAGTAATATAGACTCTGCCTCCCCAGGTCAAGTATCTTATTACAGTGTATTGTACCATATTTTTAAAGCTTGACCTCAAAAGTTAGATCTTTTTTTTCCCCCTCAATTCTTATAGAGAAGAAAATCCATAGTTTTTAATAGCAGCTCATTGGCTCACTGTATTATTTTATTTAAAGTATTTTAATGAATTATACTGAATTTATACTTTATGCTGTATTAAATTCAATTTAAATTTTAAGATGATTTATTTTTAAAAAGGAAAACCTAATTATAATATAAATTAAAAAATATTTTTTTAAAATTCATTTTTATTGGTTTTTTAAATCATCTTTTCTTAATCCATGCTGTCTGCCAAGTATCCTGCCATGCATATCAGGCATGATTTATAGGGGTTGGGCATAACATTCCTTGGATCCAAGTCCTGTGACTGCCAGCACAGAGAGTATCAGTAAATAATATTGCCATTTTATTGCACCCTAAATTGGCTGAAAATGCACCATGTTAATGTTAGCATAGGTTTGGGAGAAGTCAAAGGGTTGAGCTGTAATGTTAGACTTCATCTATTTAATCAGCATGCGCAAATATACCGCTAACTTCTTTGTTTACTGATAAAATGTTCAGCTGATTCAGTGGTATGAAATAGGTAAGGGCTTACCTGATTTTTCTTTTCTTTTTTATATCATTCTGGCTGCAGATCTTTATGTCAGAGGCTGGAAAGATTAACCAAAAGGTTAAAGTGTGGTTCAGTGACTACTTCAATGTCAGTGATACAATTGCCATCGTTACTTTCTTCATCGGGTTTGCACTAAGGTTTGGAGCAAAAGGGAACTTTCATGATGATACTTATAAAAAAAATTACATATTTGTTTCTGGAAGAATAACATACTGTCTAAATATTATATTTTGGTATGTGCGATTACTGGATTTTTTGGCGGTAAATCAACAGGCTGGCCCTTATGTCATGATGATTGGGAAAATGGTAAGTTTTTTTTGCTTTATTCAAAAGATGCCTCTCTCCCCTTTAACTTCATGATTTTTTTTAAATTATTTTCTAAAAGGTCTGTTCAGAAAAGATTATTGTACTTATGTCATTCTTCCATAAGTCAAAATGCACAAGAGTTTGTAAAAGGTGTCATTTCTGTTCATGTACAGTAAATGATTTACCAAGCATGTTATAATCTCTGGTGCCTTCACTTGGATGTAGAGAAAATCCCTTTTGTTCATTTGGCTGTGCTTGTTAAAGACTTTTTTTTGTTTCAGGCATCTTGTTTACAAGGTATACTTTATACTTAAATACAGGGAAAAATCTGGGAATGGGAAAATATTAAATTCCCTCTTCATCCTATTTCTTTATGAGTCTTAAATTTCTTAAAATACTCAGAATAAAGAAAAGGAAGCATGTTCTTAAGCTTACATTTTCAGGTAGAGTTAGGAAAATATGCATATTTTTCTGGGATTTGATGTCTGCACAGTCTATCCCTAAAGTGTCTCTAGTGCAGTTTTTGATGTACAACAACCCTTCTCCCAGTGCATTATGGGAAGATTGGGGTGATTTGGGACCTGCAAGTTGAAAACCTGGTAATTTGCTATTTTCCATACTGATTTTAACTCCTTTAAAAGACTGGCCCAGTCTGGGACTGCACCAAACATGGCACCCATTTCAGCCAGTTGGGAATCCATGCTACATGCTGTGCCTGCCTCTGCTAGTTTCGGACCTGCTGCGTGTGGTGCACATTCTTGCTTTTCCAGTATCCACGCTGTATGTGGTGCCTACTTCCCCGCCCGTGTTCCCTCCAACCTGGTCCAGGACATATACCATGGTCCTGGACTGGGCAGGGGAGGTGGGGGCCATGTGTGGTGTGGATCCCAGAGTATTTGGGGTGAGCACTTCATGTGGTGTACATCCTGGGCTCTGTGTCCTGGCAACTTGTGGATTAGATCAGATGTAGGTGCAGCACCAGGGGCCAGACTGCATGACTCCACAGCCACATCTGGCTCATAGGCTGTATCTTTAACACACCTGTACAGAAAAAAGCAACTTGCTAATTGCTCTGTGGTTTCATGAGAAATAAACCTGGGCTCTGATCCTGAATTAAACTTATTCTCTGTAATTTAGATTCACTTGTTTTAGCTTCTTGGAGAATGAGGTTGGAGGAGTGTCTCACATTTTAGCTGTAACCTTTCTTTTGCAATCAGCTGGCATTTATGAACCACAGGAAGAATCCTGTCAATTACCTTTGGCTAAGCAGCACAGTAAATACTCTTTGCCCATGCTTCCTACTTACCATAATAAGTAATGGCAGGAAAAACTGGAGTTTTTTTTATCTTGAGTTTTAGATGAGTGAATATTCTAACCTATTTATAGATCCCTCCAACTGATTTAAAATTGCAAAACATGCAAATGTCTATAGGATTACACTAGCAGTTGCTACTATAACTATAGAAGTTTTCTCTGGTTGTATAACAGCTAAGTTATGATAGAATGGATTGACTTTTTATTATTTAATTATTAAAGAATGTCAGACTTCAGCGACACTGGATTCCATAGTGTGGTCCTCTCATCTTGCTTTCTGGTTTAAAGAGTAAGGATGATATGCTCAGTTATCCTTTACTCGGTGTTGTAGCTAAACCCCAGAAACCCACAGAAAACTGTTTAGATGTCCATTCATATATACATATTCTGAAGTTCAGTATTTAAGAATTCTTGTACATTAGTTTTCAAAATTTTACCTGACTGCATTTTCTTCTCTTTTTATATTTTGAACAGGTGGCCAACATGTTTTACATTGTGGTGATTATGGCACTTGTGCTGCTTAGTTTTGGTGTTCCCAGGAAAGCAATACTGTATCCTAATGAAGCACCGTCTTGGACCCTTGCTAAGGATATTGTGTTTCATCCATACTGGATGATTTTTGGTGAAGTTTATGCATATGAAATTGATGGTAAGATGTTTCTGTATTATAACAAGTTTTGGAAAAAATTAAGGGTTAAGGAGATAGGGGTTTAGGTTGTAGCCGTGTTGGTCTAAGGACACAGGCAGACAAGGTTCCTTGGGTGAATTTGATATCTTTTATTAGACCAACCCAAATAGCTGGAGAATAGTTAGTAAGCAAGCTTTCGGGTTCAAAAACCCTTCGTCAGGCTAAGGAAGCTGCAGCAGCTGGTGTGTGCTCTTCCTGGATGGAATGAAAAGTAAAGAAGCCAGGGGCTGGGCTGGGGAGTCAGTTGCCAGGCAGATTATAATGTATCAATTGATACATTATAATGTATTGATACATTATAATCTGTATCTGTATAATGTGTACATTATAATGTATCTATTGATACATTATAATGTATTGATACATTATAATCTGTATAATCTGTACATTATACCATATATTGATACACATTATAATGTATTGATACATTATAATCTGCCTGGCAACTGACTCCCCAGCCCAGCCCCTGGCTTCTTTACTTTTCATTCCATCCAGGAAGAGCACACACCAGCTGCTGCAGCTTCCTTAGCCTGACGAAGGGTTTTTGAACCCGAAAGCTTGCTTACTAACTATTCTCCAGCTATTTGGGTTGGTCTAATAAAAGATATCAAATTCACCCAAGGAACCTTGTCTGATATATGGAGATGCATTTTGTTGTTGATATAGATTTAGCTAATTAAATTGCTTCTGCTTGACTTGCACCTTTTAATTTTCTAACTTCAAAATGTGTGAATACATTTTTTTTCTTGCTCTGAACAAGTTCTGATCCTCCTTCAGTCAAAAAGAATAGTTCTTTTTGGACTCTTTGGGCGAAGTTGGGGGCACAAAGCTGGAGCTGATTTTGAAATTTATTCCAAATAAAACATTATACCAGCATTTTGTTTACAGTCTTAAAAAAAACAAACAAACCAGTGATGAAAACCACACCAGAATTGTTATATACTTGTTTCCAGTAGCTCTCTAGGAGAATGACATGCTGGGCATTATTTCATGATCATGTTTATAAAGTGACTTGTATAAATGCTGAAGGTCTGCAAAAAAGTTTTTTTCATTCCCCTCTAAAGTGTGTGCAAATAAATCAGAGGTTGATCATCTCTGTGGACCTGGAACATGGTTGACCCCATTTCTTCAAGCTGTCTACCTCTTTGTACAATACATTATTATGGTTAATCTCCTTATTGCATTTTTCAAGTAAGTATATGATTAACTCTTAATGAACTTTTAATGTTGATAAATAGTATAATATGGTGATTTAAGTACATCTTTGACTTGTATAGTCTAACTGGAAATGGGACTGATGACAATATAAGGCCCTGCTGTTTTGACATACAGTAGTTTTTCCAGGTAGTTCAGTGTGGTCCCTTACTCTTCAGTGCTGTAGAAACAACTCCGAAGAAGGAGGGGTATTTCTTTTCCTGTCCCCTGCAGCCACAGACACTAGCCTATCATCATCCCCCTTTTCACTGTCCTTCAGGTATTCATAGTTATGAATAAATTAGTTAGTATTCATAACTAATAATACAGAAAATTTAGTGTGGTAATGGCACTGCAATTCAGACTTATTTAAATGAATACTTGCATCTGCTTTTTATACAGCCACCTACTAGAAAAGTTATAGTTCAGCAACTGTGTACATATTTTTATGTTGTAATTGTTTGAATACTTGCATTATTCTGTAAACAGAAGAGAGGCGCTATAATATATTTTTATTAAACCAACTAAATTTATTTTCATCTTTGAAGAAGCTGCATATTGGAATTTGGCAGAAAACAAATCTGACTTCATTCTTTAATACAACTGTAGGTATGCTGTGAGTGGTAAAAATTGTACTCCTAATAGAAAAAATTCTGCAAAGAGTGATTTTAAGTTTATAGGGATATTTTCATTTTTAAAAAGTACATGAGCATGAGTAGCAACCTATGCTTATGTATGGGGATAGACTGATTGTGTGTACAACTGGCTAGTTAGTCATTTAACTGGTCATTTCTTTTGCACATAGTTACAGCAGATTTGCATGCAAACAAGGGGCAAAATGCAAGTAAAACTGCAAAACTGTTTTTAGAAAAGTAGGTCTGTAGTTAATCGCCACAGTATCCTTGTATAAGCAGAGAATAAAAGCATTTGTTGCAGTTACTAGAATAGAAAGCTATTCTTTCCTAGTGGATGTCAGTTACCTGTTACATGTTCCTGCATTATGCTTAATGCATGATAGAAGAGGTGTTCCTTCTTGTATTTCTGACTTCAGCATCTATGAGAGTGTATTTGGTGGCAAGAGGTGTCCATCAGAAAGAGGATTGAGACAACCCGCTGATTATTTATTTATTTTTATGTATGTATTTGTTAAAATGATAGTCTTTGTTGCTACCAGATCAGTATAGATACAAATAAATAACTTCTAGGGTGAATTATAAGTACCCTGAGCACTATTCCCAACTTAATACATTCTTTAACCTGATAGAACAGGTGTACCATTTGGCTTGGGATGTTAAATTTAAAATAAGTCTTATAAGGAATGATCTAATTGTGAGGTAGTTGCAGTAGAACAAAAAGGATGCCAGTGTTCCCAAAGGAAATCTTATTCCCTAATCTTAGGTTTTCTCTCCTTTTTCTTTCTAGAAGATGGCATAAAACCAAACAAAGGTGTGAACAAGAGACCTCTAATTTAAAAGCCAATTTTCCTGTCTTACACTTAAATTCTTTTAAAATGTAATATTGTTTCCCACATAAGCATTACAGAGACCAAAGCCTCTCTTGGAAAGACTATACCACTAAGACTTAAAAAATTTTCAGTGGAAATTAGAAGTTCATAATAGACTGCTTATACCAGAAGTTGGCAACCTTTTGACTTGGTAGGCTAGAGTTTTTAACTTGGCACCTTCCATGGGCCACAAGTTCCAGTCTCTAGAGAGCTCAACTGCCTGCACTTCCCCTCTGTAGATACCCCACCTCTCTGTAGCAAGGGTATATGTAGGCACAAGAGCAGCAGGGGGAGCTGTGGAGAGGATGAGTGGCTCGGCACAGCTGCATGCTGCTCAATCCCCACTGCTGCCTGGGTACAGGTTGGACCTTCCTGGGCCAGATCCAGTCTGAGGAGCATAAATTACCAACCCCTGGTTTATGCGATAAAATTAAAATATATACATACCTACAACATGCTACATTTCTTCCACATTTTATATCTTTGTAAGATAGATGGGTGGTAAAATCCCTTCTGATAATTCATTACTATAATATTGGACATGCTAAAACCTTCTTTTTGTGTTCCTCTTCAGCAATGTATATTTACAAGTAAAGGCAATTTCAAATATTGTATGGAAGTATCAGCGTTATCATTTCATCATGGCCTACCATGAAAAGCCTGTTCTGCCTCCACCTCTCATTATTCTTAGTCACATGGCTTCCTTATTTTGTTGTATATGTAAGAGAAGAAAGAAAGACAAGACCTCAAATGGGCCAAGTAAGAACAAACTTTATCCAATTAACCATTATATTTGATTTTATAATATGATGTTTTCAGTTTTAAAAACAATAACTTACTTGGCTATTCATTTTTTAGAGGGAGCACAACAAAGGTATGCTTAATTTATTAATACAGAAGCAGAAAATTTGCTTTCTTAGAATTTATTTTGACATCTGAAAAATGTTTGAGTGCTCTTGCATTAATAAATAGAATAAACACTTTGCAGGAAGCTGAATTTATTTAGTGGTTTGATATGTGTTAGGTTTTTAAATCTCTTTGTATAGAAGTGATGCATAATTCTACTATCTGCATATTTCTAATATCTCATCACTGTGGATCCTGATTTTCTCTGATTAAAAATAGCAAATTCTCTGATTAAAACCCCCAAATTTGCATTTTATCCCTGATTAAAATAAAACTATCTGTCTATCTATAGATATAGATATCTAGATATAGAGATCTCTATATCTATAGATATAGATCTATATATATGTATGTATGTATGTATACGTATCAGTTGAACACAATGTTTTATTGATATATTATCAATTTTAAAGCCATGTGGAAGCCTACCAGTGCCTCAGTCACTATAATGAATTCTAAATACCTGTACATTTGGCCATTTGATTTTGGGTTTTGTATCATAGAAAGGTCACCAGGACATGGGCCCAGCTGCAGCTGTCTCCCACCACTGCTTTATGGTGCTGAGCAGCCCGGATATGTCAATGCCCTGACCATGCCATTGCCCCTCACTCCCCACCTACAGCCCCCTCCCCCAGCCCTGCCAGAGGGGGACCCCAGCTGTCAGGGCTACAGGGCCAGGGACCTGGGTTCACAGCCCCCTGCCCCCCCAGCAACACCCAAATACTGGCTGCTGTCCATGGGAGGCAGCGGCTGCTGTGGCAGAGCAGAGCATGGAGCCCTGCTTCCTTTCTCCCATGGGCAGCACCACTGGAGTGGAGGGGGGAGGGGGGGAGGGTGTTCAGATGTGGGCTGTGGGCTTGGGGTCCCAGCCCTGCTGCCCTCCCCTGGGGCCTCTGCAGTCCAGGAGCGAGACCCAGTGCAGCAAAGAAAAACAGGGTGTGGAGGCTCAGTGCTGCTGCCAGGAACCCCGTGCCACCATGGCAAGGTGCCTCCTGCACACCCAGCAGCAGTGGTGGGTGCAACTCTGTGCTGCTACCCCCAGTGCTGCCAGGCGGGCAGGGGGCACCTTGCCATGGCTGCGTGGGGCTCCTGACAGAGCTCTGCCAGCCTACAAATCTGCATTTTACCATGGCAAACAGAAAACTTGGATCCCTGCTCATCACTAGTAGCATTTCAACTTCTGAATGTACTGACCCTTGGATTTTAGTTCTATCCTAATCTTTTTAATGACCTCTTCTTTGTTTTGCACTTGTGGTTAACATTGAGTATCTCAGTCTCATCATTTTGAAACTGAACAAAAATAAATTGAAAAATTTGTTAAAATGATAGTCTTTGTTGCTACCAGATCAGTATAGATACAAATAAATAACTTCTAGGGTGAATTATAAGTACCCTGAGCACTATTCCCAACTTAATACATTCTTTAACCTGATAGAACAGGTGTACCATTTGGCTTGGGATGTTAAATTTAAAATAAGTCTTATAAGGAATGATCTAATTGTGAGGTAGTTGCAGTAGAACAAAAAGGATGCCAGTGTTCCCAAAGGAAATCTTATTCCCTAATCTTAGGTTTTCTCTCCTTTTTCTTTCTAGAAGATGGCATAAAACCAAACAAAGGTGTGAACAAGAGACCTCTAATTTAAAAGCCAATTTTCCTGTCTTACACTTAAATTCTTTTAAAATGTAATATTGTTTCCCACATAAGCATTACAGAGACCAAAGCCTCTCTTGGAAAGACTATACCACTAAGACTTAAAAAATTTTCAGTGGAAATTAGAAGTTCATAATAGACTGCTTATACCAGAAGTTGGCAACCTTTTGACTTGGTAGGCTAGAGTTTTTAACTTGGCACCTTCCATGGGCCACAAGTTCCAGTCTCTAGAGAGCTCAACTGCCTGCACTTCCCCTCTGTAGATACCCCACCTCTCTGTAGCAAGGGTATATGTAGGCACAAGAGCAGCAGGGGGAGCTGTGGAGAGGATGAGTGGCTCGGCACAGCTGCATGCTGCTCAATCCCCACTGCTGCCTGGGTACAGGTTGGACCTTCCTGGGCCAGATCCAGTCTGAGGAGCATAAATTACCAACCCCTGGTTTATGCGATAAAATTAAAATATATACATACCTACAACATGCTACATTTCTTCCACATTTTATATCTTTGTAAGATAGATGGGTGGTAAAATCCCTTCTGATAATTCATTACTATAATATTGGACATGCTAAAACCTTCTTTTTGTGTTCCTCTTCAGCAATGTATATTTACAAGTAAAGGCAATTTCAAATATTGTATGGAAGTATCAGCGTTATCATTTCATCATGGCCTACCATGAAAAGCCTGTTCTGCCTCCACCTCTCATTATTCTTAGTCACATGGCTTCCTTATTTTGTTGTATATGTAAGAGAAGAAAGAAAGACAAGACCTCAAATGGGCCAAGTAAGAACAAACTTTATCCAATTAACCATTATATTTGATTTTATAATATGATGTTTTCAGTTTTAAAAACAATAACTTACTTGGCTATTCATTTTTTAGAGGGAGCACAACAAAGGTATGCTTAATTTATTAATACAGAAGCAGAAAATTTGCTTTCTTAGAATTTATTTTGACATCTGAAAAATGTTTGAGTGCTCTTGCATTAATAAATAGAATAAACACTTTGCAGGAAGCTGAATTTATTTAGTGGTTTGATATGTGTTAGGTTTTTAAATCTCTTTGTATAGAAGTGATGCATAATTCTACTATCTGCATATTTCTAATATCTCATCACTGTGGATCCTGATTTTCTCTGATTAAAAATAGCAAATTCTCTGATTAAAACCCCCAAATTTGCATTTTATCCCTGATTAAAATAAAACTATCTGTCTATCTATAGATATAGATATCTAGATATAGAGATCTCTATATCTATAGATATAGATCTATATATATGTATGTATGTATGTATACGTATCAGTTGAACACAATGTTTTATTGATATATTATCAATTTTAAAGCCATGTGGAAGCCTACCAGTGCCTCAGTCACTATAATGAATTCTAAATACCTGTACATTTGGCCATTTGATTTTGGGTTTTGTATCATAGAAAGGTCACCAGGACATGGGCCCAGCTGCAGCTGTCTCCCACCACTGCTTTATGGTGCTGAGCAGCCCGGATATGTCAATGCCCTGACCATGCCATTGCCCCTCACTCCCCACCTACAGCCCCCTCCCCCAGCCCTGCCAGAGGGGGACCCCAGCTGTCAGGGCTACAGGGCCAGGGACCTGGGTTCACAGCCCCCTGCCCCCCCAGCAACACCCAAATACTGGCTGCTGTCCATGGGAGGCAGCGGCTGCTGTGGCAGAGCAGAGCATGGAGCCCTGCTTCCTTTCTCCCATGGGCAGCACCACTGGAGTGGAGGGGGGAGGGGGGGAGGGTGTTCAGATGTGGGCTGTGGGCTTGGGGTCCCAGCCCTGCTGCCCTCCCCTGGGGCCTCTGCAGTCCAGGAGCGAGACCCAGTGCAGCAAAGAAAAACAGGGTGTGGAGGCTCAGTGCTGCTGCCAGGAACCCCGTGCCACCATGGCAAGGTGCCTCCTGCACACCCAGCAGCAGTGGTGGGTGCAACTCTGTGCTGCTACCCCCAGTGCTGCCAGGCGGGCAGGGGGCACCTTGCCATGGCTGCGTGGGGCTCCTGACAGAGCTCTGCCAGCCTACAAATCTGCATTTTACCATGGCAAACAGAAAACTTGGATCCCTGCTCATCACTAGTAGCATTTCAACTTCTGAATGTACTGACCCTTGGATTTTAGTTCTATCCTAATCTTTTTAATGACCTCTTCTTTGTTTTGCACTTGTGGTTAACATTGAGTATCTCAGTCTCATCATTTTGAAACTGAACAAAAATAAATTGAAAAATTAATTATCTAGAAAATCTTAATTTTTTCTTAAGATACTAACTTCTAAACGTCAGAAAACCAATTTACCATGATCTACCGTGGTGCTTCATTAGAACACAAGTACAGCTAAAAAGACCAGCAGGCTTGAGATACCCGAATTCCAACTCCTAGGAGGCACCAAAGGGGAATTTTAGAACTTAGACTTTCTTTTGAGCCTTTGTTTTTTTGGGGAATGGTAGGAGGGAGAGAGTGTGATTGTAATCTTAGTCCTGAGGGGTTGGGGGACACGAAGGTTGCTAAAAAAGTTTTTCCGTAAAGCGCAGGCAGAAAACCCTTTTTTCCAGCCAGTTAGAAACATGTAACATTTGCCTAATTTATTGTACTTAGTTGTGGCTAGTGATTTCAAGTGCTTCTTACAGTTATTAAGCTTCTAAACTGTTGCCTTCTTTGTCTTTAGAACTCTTCCTAACTGAAGAAGACCAAAAAAAGCTTCATGACTTTGAAGAGTTATGTGTTGAGATGTATTTTAATGAAAAGGATGATAAATTCCACTCTGGCAGTGAAGAGAGAATCCGAGTCACTTTTGAACGGTAGAGAACTTATGAAGAAACTTTAAAAATGTTAATCTTTGAGTTCCTGAAATATGTTTTAATAGGCAGTTACAGTGCATGTAGCTACAGATGCAAAATATTTGTGACAGTTGAGTTTTATGATTTTCATGGCTACATTGAAGTTAATCATGCAGAATGTTTTGTTACTTGCATTTCTGAATTATAGAATAACTTCTACTTGTGAACTCCCAGTAAAATAAGATTTTTTTTGTATTATTTAACTTTTTTGAAAATATTTTCTTAAATGTAACAGTAGGTGTTAGGCAGCAGTACTATAAGGCACGCATGTCAAAGATGTGGCCTGTGGGCTGGATATGGTCTGTAGAGCCCCATCACCCATCACCTGTGCTGCCTTTGGGTCTTAGATTGACATATACATCACACGGTATGCACTACACCACCACGTGCAAGGCCCAGGATGTGAGCCACACATGGTGCCTGCTAGGACTCTGCAAAGTTTCAGTCCCTAATTTGATTCGGCAGAGATTAAGCCTGTTTTGGTGGCCTAAATTTGGTGTTTTGGTGGCCAAATCCAAATCAAATCAGGAGACCCTTTAATCGAATCAGAACCCTCCAAATTGATTCCAAAAGATTTGGCGATTCGGACATAGACACAGCTTACCTCAAAGTGCCAGGTGGCTCGTGAATGCTACAATGGTGGGGTGGATGGAGCGTCCACTTCCACATCCACTGGGGAGCGTGCAGGGGGGCCCCCCATGCTCCCCCCGCTTGGCGACTGGTGCCTTCTGGGTCTGGGGGGGGCACCTGGAGTCCCCCTGCGGCTTATTTCTGAGCCAGGGGGCATGGGGGGCCCCCTGCATGGGCCCCAGCAGACCCGGAAGTGGACCAGAAGTACTTCTGGGTTCGCCACTGAGCGCACGGGGGGGAGGGGGCGGGCAAGCTCCTGTCAGATGCTCCATCCACCCCAGCATTGCAGCATTCACAAGCCGCGCCTGGTACCTCAAGGTATGTAGGAAAAACATTTAAAGCTGTGTTTATGGCCGAATCACTGATCCTCCGAATCAAATCGGGGACGGTGATCTGAATCGACGAATAGAATCACTGTCCCCGATTCAGGGCGAATCCAAATCAAGTAAGGTCTGTTTTGCACACCCCTAGTGTGTGCCTCAGCGAATCTGGGAAGTGTAGCACCTGCTCTGGGACCCACATTGTATGTAGCATCTGTGTGGGGCCTGTCTGGGGACCTTCCCCCTCCCTCTCCCCACCTGTCCGATTCAATACCCAGAGCACCCACTCTGGCCAGTCAAGGTGGGGTCCTGCATGCTCTGGATCTGGCATGCTTGCGGGGGCGGGGGGTAGAAACTGGGTTGGTGGGGCTGGCACTGCACAGTTCATTGGGCCTGTGGACCAGTCCTGTACCACTCATCAGGCCCATGGGGACAGATGAATTAAACACTCCTGTTGTAGGCCCTTGACTGACATTTATTCCTTAATGCCTTTACACACATCCACTAAAATCTACTAGGCTACACTAAAATTTGTAAAATAAATATAGCTTAAGTGTTTCTTCCATTTGTGAACTAATCTTCAATATCTTTCGCTTCTCTTTTCTTAGGGTTGAGCATATGTGCATTCAAATAAAAGAAGTTGGTGATCGAGTCAATTACATCAAACGATCATTGCAGTCTTTAGATTCCCAGATTGGCCATTTACAGGACCTCTCTGCTCTGACTGTGGACACTCTAAAAACACTAACTGCACAAAAGGCTTCAGAAGCTAGCAAGGTCCATAATGAAATTACACGGGAGTTGAGCATTTCAAAGCATTTGGCACAAAACCTTATTGATGATGGCCCTTTAAGGTCTTCTGTGTGGAAAAAACATAGCATAGGAAATATTTTTGGTTCTTCTTTTCCACAAGGTGGCCTTGAGAGTAATAATGCTTTACTCTGTAACATTTCTACACGCAATGAAAGAAACACCCAATATATGATGGGTCAGGATTTAGATCCTGTTCCCAGGAGCGAAGAACTACTTTTACAAGAGGCAGGTTCCTCAGGCAGTGCCTTATTTCCAAGTGCTGTTATTCCTCCAGAACTTCGACAAAGAGTACAGGGTGCAGAGATCTCAAAATGCATTAATAAAAATAAAAAACTAGGCAACTCATCAAACAGCATGCCACATCTGACATCATCAACAACTAAATTTTTTGTTAGCACTCCATCTCAGCCCAATTGCAAAAGTCAGCTGGAATCTACAGCAAAGCAAGAAGAAGCTATTTGCTCTAAGGCTACAGAAGGAGATAATAATGTAGAATTTGGTGCATTTGTAGGTAAGTATAACAAAGTAGATTGTAAATGTCCTGAAGTCATTATTAGCTGCTCTTATTCTCTTGCTTCTGGCTCTGCTTCCCTTGCTTTCACTCAACCTTGTGCTGAAAGTGGAGGATACATTAATTGTGGTTTTGTTCATGATGAAAATGACATCAGTGATAACTACAACGGAAGAGCTAACAAACGTGATCACCAGTCCCTTGTCAGTTTATCGGAGAACAGTATTCAAAAGAAGTTACTTCTGTCATCCGACAACCAGGCATCAGCAGCAGTCAGCACAAGTGGTAGCCCCCATGGAAAATTGAATGTTAAAGATGAACTCCCCAAATGCCAGCACATTCAAGCAGTGGAACTACAAAGCCAAGATTTAAGTTCTCACATCAGTACAGGACTACTTCAAAAACTGTGGACCAAAGGTTTGATTTATCAAGAATTGTATGGTATTTGGGTGTTTTCTGGTTGCAGGTGACTTTATTGTACCATTATGCTTTGCTTGTTTTGCTTTTAACTTTCCTAACTTTTCCCCAAATTGTCTGGATTTTGTTTTACTTTGAAATGATTATTTCTTTATAATTCCATCATATAGACAATATTTTTCTGACCATTACACAGCTGTTGATGAATATAATTTTCATTATAATATTAGTAGTTCTACAGCTTTGTATGGGCAATTCAGATATACTTCAGTGGTACTTATTTTGAAGTTATAATGTTTTTATTATAAAGCTCATGGAAAAATATTGTCTTTCTTGATAAAATTACAGAAGACTTCAGGAATCATGAAAATATATCTTTGTGGTATCTGTGACAAACTAAGGGATCCTACTACACTACAATTCTAAACACTTTTACTAGGATCTTCCACTGTTTAGAGTAATTTACCCCATGGGAAGTTTTCAAACAGTTCTTTTTTAAATCCCGTTTTATGCTCTTTATTTTTTTTTAACTTTACTTAAAAAGGTTTCTGGCTAGAGTAGACACTTGATTGATAAAACAGTGGCAGATTCGTTCCATAAGTAGGTGTGGGTTTACTAACTATATTCTGCAAATTAAAGAACAGATTAATTCAGAGCCAGTTTCAACTGGAGAATCACAGTCTGAAACTTTTTGAGGCTGCCTGTTCTCTTGCAGAGCAATAGGATCTCCCTGGACAAGACATGCATTTCTTCATATGGATATTGACTTGTTTAAAAAAAAGTTTTAAATTTAGAGAAGAGCTTTATTCTGTTACTATGAAAATGTGGGGTGCTTTAAATGATACATTTACATAATAAGTATTTTTAGACATATTTCCTCTACCCTCACATGAATATTGGTAACCACAGACTAGGCTCATCATACTTGTAAAGAACTGTGCTTTTTGCTTTAAAAAGTAAGGCTAGAAAAGCATAAAGCATTTAAAATCTGACCGTGCAACTCAATTTGACTTTCAAGTAAGTTGGACTACTAATATTTTTTAATACACAGTATACTTATTTTGTTGGAGCCATGCATTCATTATACGATCCTCTGTCATCCAACATTTAGAATAGACTCTTCATCTTTATTGCACGGTACTTATAGAATATCTGAGCCAGAGCAGCTCTCTGTTCATGAAGTAGGTTTATTTTCAGTGTAACACCATGCATGTTGGTGGAGCTGAATATAGTCTTGAGGATGAAGTTGTATAGTTTTAAAAGCTACCAAAGGAAATTGTTTTTCCTGTAGTTAGCATATTCATGTAAAATATGCAGATTCAGAATATCCAGTTCCTCCAACGTAGGACCCTTTTTCGCTTGAAACTAACGTTTTAAATTGTAACAGTTTTGTACTTTAATGTGGAGAAAGCATCTATTCCTAATTTCTAACCATTTTAATTAAATCTACTTACTTTATAGTTTTTCATACAAGGTTTTCCAATACAATCAAACATAGAGAGTATTATTTTTTGTGTCCCCAACATAACAGAATCTTTGGCATGGTCAGAACTTGAAAGTTAACTCTGAATATTCTGTTTTTTGTTTCAATTCATTCAAAGGTCACAGAGACAGCATGGAGTTACAGCGGTTTAAAGAAATAGCAAACAAAGAAAAAAATAATATTGAGGTAAGACTGAAAACTGTCCTGTGAAAGTACACCCTTGTAGTTTAATGTGGGTACTATTTTCCTCATCTCAGCACTTTTTACATATTTTAATTCATCGTTTACATTTTGAAAATATAAGAACAAACATTTTGACAAACTAGTATACAGAGACGTTACATATAGTTGCATTCAGTAAGAGAATGAAAGTATATGCACAGATTTTTGTATTGGGAGAAATGGAAATTTGGATGGAACCTTATTTATGGAGCAGTTACCATTCCTATACTACAGGGGTTGGTAAGCTTTTTCAAGCCAAAAGCTGGAATCACTTGGCTCCAGTCCAGCATGGGCCAGATGGCTTTAGTGGTGCATTGGTGGTGCGGGCCTTTCCCTGGACCCCCACTGGTGTTATGCAGCTCTCAGTCTCCCACTCCCTGACTGTGCGGTGAGTGCAGCTTCCAGCCTGTGGGGAGCTGTGCTGGGGCTGGGGCCAGGGAGCTAGAATTTGCTTCCATTCTGCAGCTGCTGCTACTTGTCCAGGCCCCCACTCATACTCTCCCCTTACCCCCCACCCTTGTCCCCTCTGCTGTCTAGCCCTAGTGCAGCTTTGCTCTGGCTGGAAGCTGCTCTCACAGCCCAGCTTTGGGGAGGGGAAATAGGAGCGGGTGGGGAGAGAAGCAGCAGCAGTGCAGACACAGCTTCTAGCTCCCTGGCCCCAGCACAGCTCCTCACTGCTTAGCTCCAGCTTTGGCATGAGCACAGGCAAAGTCTGGTGGCTCTGTGGGCCATCTCCAGCTTGTGGGCCATACATTGCAGACATTTGTTTATATATTGGGATAATGACCTTCAGATAGTTAAGCCATGCACTGAATTTCCACTTAAAGCAAAGGAGCTGGGAAGTAGTCATTGAAATGAATAAGCATGATATGTGTAGGACCAGTTGCACATGTTATCTCATCAGTTAGGAAATCTGACTTGAGATTTAAGGCAGCTATTGAGGAAATGTTGTGCAGTGATCTTTTAAGGAAGATCACTGCTCAACTGCCTTTCTGGAAAATTAATATTCTGGTGAGTTACTTTTTATACAATGCATGACCTTCAACTTTAACTTGTGCAATATATTCTTTCATTTTTCCTTGTACAGGAGCAACAAGAAGACTTTAAGAAAGCTATTCTAGAGGGTATAGAGATGACCAGACACCAGGTAAATAGGAAGCCTTTGAGTTCAGAGTCGCTATAATCAGTAATAAGTACTTGCCTTCATTATTTTAGGTTTTCCACATGAAGTGCAGGAGCCTGGGACACTATAGATGAAGAAGGTGTGCAGGCCGGGCGCGAGCCGGGCCCTTTTTCGTGCTGCACGCGGGCTGTGGCCAGCAGCCCGGGCACGCAGGGTCGGAGAGGAGGGGCGCGACAAGCTAGAATTAGTCACGGACTCATAGCGGTAGATTTAAAGATTGTTTACTTACACTGGAGATGGTTGCAGTGCAGGCTGGAAAACTTGCTTGAGTTGCGGTTACAGACAGGAAAGGAGAGGCGGACAAGAGTTCTAAACTCGCGAACTCTAGCCCAATCCAGTTGGAGGCTCTAAACCGCGAGCCCGAAGAAAGTACTCGTCTGAAAGAGCTCTGAATAAACTCACACGAAGTTTGCTAGGCTCCGTGGGTCCTTCTGCTCACTCATCCACACGAAGTTTGCTAGGCTTTGTGGGTCCGGTTCTTTTGCGCGCAGGAAGGGATACATCTAGGAATCTATTGGCGACGGGGAGAGGCTAGAGGCTGATCAGACCTCTGTTGCCTGCTTGAAATGCGCTGGGTCTGTAAGGATCCACAGCGCTTGGAGATCTTCACACAGCGTGAAGTCTCCTCCTCCCGGTGTTCATGGAGTTCTCCAACTTGCGCGGAAACCTCTCAAGCCTTTTATACGGCTAGCAAGCCAATCACTAGCCGCCACGTGTGAATAATTTAGAACTGGCCAATAATGGGGCTCGAATTAGCATACAAATGGCGGGAACTCTTTGCAACGAGCATTTCTGTGCTGCAACAAAGAAATGCACCCTGCAAAGAAAGCTTCAAATTGGCAGGAAATTCTCCCTTGCACCGGGGTTCTCTTTTGCAGCAGAAAACTCCACCGTGCAAAGAAGCTGCAATTTAGCGGGAACAATTTAGCAGTGCCGAAGCACACAAAAACAAAAATCACACCCTTTGGGTTGTGACAGAAGGAAATTTTGGAGACAAAGTGAATGTCACACTAAACAGCGGACACATGTTTAGACTCTGATTAACCTGTAATTTCTTCTCAGGTTCATAGAGGATTCCATTTATAGCTAGCAGCAGTCATGTCATAATTAAGGTTGAATTTTTCATTTTAATGTTGATTATAGCCATGATCCTTTTTTTTTTCTTTAAAAAAAATCATGAAAGAATGAAATTGGTGAGGTTTTATAGGGAATTGGTGAGGTTTTATTCACCAAGGCGCCCCCGGGGGTTACAAGAAATAGTGGCCACAAGCTAGCAGAGAGCAGATTTAGACTAGACATTAGGAAGAACTTCTTCACAGTTCGAGTGGTCAAGGTCTGGAACGGGCTCCCAAGGGAGGTGGTGCTCTCCCCTACCCTGGGGGTCTTCAAGACATAGGCATCTAGCTGGGGTCATCTAGACCCAGCACTCTTTTCTGTCTATGCAGGGGGTCGGACTCGATGATCTATTGAGGTCCCTTCCGACCCTAGAATCTATGAATCTATGAAATTTTGATATCTATTTAACAAAAAGGAAGTGTCTGTTTACCATGGACAAAATGTCCAAGACCAAGAGAGAATTTTGACAGTTATGCCATTAATCAGATAAATTCTTCAGAAGTTATGACACTGGAAAAAAAGGGATTATGCAGAATTAGTACATTGCTAATGCAGTAGCGTTCAGCCTTTGACCCATGGGCCAAATCTGGCCTCTGTGACCATGTTGTCTAGGCCATGGGGTCTCCATGGATCTGGAAATTTGGTGGTAGGGAAGCGGTGGCAGCATTAATTGCTGTGGCTTTCAGAGTTGCAGCAGTTAATGCTCTCACTGTTTCCCTGCTGTCAAATTTCTGGATCTGTTGGGAGCCCCATGAGCCAGACGATACAGTCCCTTGTGCTGGAAGGCGGGGGTTGCTCTGTGGCCAGATCAGGCACGTAGGGCCACTTCATGGTTGGGGCTAGCCACTGAGCTTGATTACACCCAAAGACAATCACTACTTCTCATGTCTCTACACCACGTTTGACCCCGATAGATCCCATGCAATAGTCTGCATTAATGCTTGAAGGCAGATGTACCTGTGTTATTTCAATGGACTAATGGTGCTTCTTCTCTGTTACAGCATCCTCAATCAGCTCAGTACCTTATGTCCAATAGGACCACTCTAGCAGCAAGTCTCTAGTAATGTGTTCTCCAGAAATATACAGTACTGAACAATCTCTTGACTATCTTTAAATGTTTCCAGTATGAAAAGGATGAGGACATGTACTTCAAATCCACTTCTAAGGCATACTGGCTAGATGTGTAGCAAGGCAGCTCTGCATCTAAGGCAGCAAGTGATGCACAGGGCAGTACCAAGGTACCACAGTGTAGAATGTGGCAGCATGTTCAGCCACCTCTGCAATGGCAGCTATTTTTTTCACCTACAAAAGCAGCACCCAGTGTTGCTGTGCTGGTCACTCCTTCTCTTTCAGTTACACTGCTGATACCTACACTTTCTGGATGGTGTTGATGTCATTCTACCAAACTTTGAAGGCTCTCCCTTTCTGTCAGCAAGAGCTTGTATTTTCCTATCATTTGCATCAAACCAGTGCAGATGTGTCTTTGTGGAGAAGACTAGAGATTCTTCGTACACCTCATCAATGCCTTTTTTGAGGCTCTTCCAGTGATCAGTGGTGTCAAGAGTCCTCATGGAGGCACTACTAGAGATGATCACATTTAGCAGGGCCTTTCAAGTGCTCAGTATTGAACCTAAGTGCTGCAGTGTCAGTATCGAGTCATGCAAGTTCTCCAGCCATGAGTGCTTTCTTTCACCCTTGTCGACTGGGTCAATGTTAGGGTTGTCCATCAGGGTGCAAATATTTCTGGTTATTTGATTCGGACTGCAGATTGGAAAACCACATCCAGTGGAATCATTCTGTCAGGTGAAATGAGACAGACTGCATTTGGGGAACCCTTTCTAGCTTCCTCCCCATATGGGGTGAACAGTGGATCCTAAATAGTCCTGCACAGTCATGATTTGCAGCTGTCAAATTGTATGCCTGACTCATTTCCAAGTACAAAACCATCATACTCTCTTTGCCTTCATGTAGGTCTGTGATTAGGGACATCTAATAATCACTAGTACTTGCCCCTATTGCCACTTGCTCACCACCGTGAGATTTAGTATGCCTAAGCATATCTTCATTTTACATGGGGATGCTGTTGTGCATCAACAGCCACACACTACTTTGTGGGAAAGAAACCTTAATCTGATGTTGAGGAAAACCTAAATGCCTGGAGGTTTCTATTCCACTTCAGCCTTCTTCTGACTTTGCTGCCATCATGAAGTATTCTTTCTTTATTCACTTGCTCCACCAGTGAGGACTTGTTTTATTTTTGGATTGCTATTAGTCACACCTCACCTTTGACCTTGCTGCCATGGGTTACCCTATGAGGAGTAGAAAATTCAAGATGCCATCACTCTTGAGGTCATTGGTAGCATACAGTACTCTCCACCACATTAAGGTTGTGATCCTTGGGAGATCTCTGCTTATTACTAGGTTTTCAAATATGTTGACCACAAGAAGTCAAGGTAAGACAGAGAGGCACCTTATAGACTGAGTGGCTCAGAGAGGCACGGAGTCATGTAGGCAACAATCTACTTCAATTGTTAGGAATGGACAGGCTGAACGACACGTGTAGAACCTCAGTAAAAATAATTAAGTGCTACTGATATTTCATCATTTGATTCAAAGAGGATGTTTGAGAATATTTAAAGGACTTACTGATGTTCTTTTAAATTCGCTTTTGTTTTTAACAAGATATACAGTGGACTTGTTTGTCTTATGTGCTTGCTGTATATTTACTATAGGACTCTAAATGTGATTAACAAACTCCTTTATTTATTTAATTGTGAATATTTGGTATATGGAGTATTAATCTTTGAGCGAGAGTATGAATTAAGGATTTAACTTCATTTTAATTCCCTATATCATAGGAATTAGAACTTTAATATGAAGTATATAATGTAACTGCACAATTTTAGAATTGAAATATATAATGAACTAACAGAGTTATGAAGAGTAGAGATTAATGTTTCTAGAGGTGTATACCTTTCAATTTGAAGTTGTTTTACTGATATTACTTTCTATTTGTCATCTCAAAAATAGATCTCTATTGCTCTACTCTAAGTAGAGTCTTTATTACTCATTCTAAAATAATGAGTCTCAGGATTTGTTGTAAATAGGTATCAGTCTACAATTTGTAATGGAAAGACTTGAAAAAGTGTGTATTTACTTACCAAACTGTCCAAGATGCATTTTAAAAATATATTTGTCATACATTTAAAAGATGCTCATAGAAAGAGATATTAGTTATGTTGCAAACTAAGCAGATTACCATACTGCATGAATAGCAGAGGATTACAGGAATGATGACTGATAACTGTGTTTTACAGGACGGTCTTCAAACTGACTGTAATTTGAGACAGACTAACTCTTGCAGTGGATTTGCTGAATATCTTGAAAACTCTTTGGCAGGTCATTCGGAACAGTGTAAGTGCAGATTTCTCTGAGGCTTAGTTTTATCCCAAAATTTTATTAATGAAGTTAAGTCACTAATTCAAGAGGTACTGTCAACATAAAATTAGGTTTGTCTCTGAATTTAAAAAAAATCTTTTTTGTTACTTGAAATGTGTAAGTTTTTAACATCTTTGAGAGTAGAGGAGTATATATTTTGTTTTCTAAAAGTTGTCTACTTTGTGTATTTGTCTGCATTGTATATGTAGTCAGTTTTCTGCTATCTGTGAGATTTTTCAGTATAGGAGAGGGAAAGAATCATTTGTATTT